CTGCATTCATTATTTTGTGAGAGAAACGAAGTTCATGAAATTTGTTATGAGAATAAATGGCAAAATCAAAGGCCACTTATTAGACTGTATTTTCATATGAAGAATTGAAAATGGTGTCGGCAATATATAAAATTTTATTAAATTTAATTTTTAAATCAGTTATAATGAAAGAAAAGAATTTGTAATAGTGCATTGAAATTTCTATAAAACTGTGGCATATGAGTCGTAAGTAAATAGCAGAGGTACTTTGATTTTTATCTTCTCAGAAGATAAAATCAGAAGAAAATAACGAGTTTTCGTTCATTTGGTTAAAACACACGAAGCCTATGCTTCTAATTACATAGGTTCAAAGTTCAAGCCTGGCATTTATAATCTAACAATTATACACGGACCCATAAAGCAACGAAAACAGCTGTTAATGTAATTATTTGAAAGATTAAATTTTGTTTTTATAATATGCTACTATTCAAATACATTTTATTACTGAATTTCATTAAAATATTCCAAAATAAAATTAATATAATTTGAGAGGCACGAGTTCTAAGCCTGGCACTTGTAATCCAACAAAATTATGTATGGACTATAAACTAATTAAATTTGATTATTTCCTAACACTACAGCGTTGTATGGACAGCCAAATTTCAATAAATTAAATAATATTTTCGTCCTTGTCTTTTCTTTGCTATTCGAATCCGTCTAACTTTTAAGTAGTTTGTTCTTGTCGTAAAGACGAGTCGCATTTGACAAGAAAAAATTAACATTAAAGTTAATATATATTTAAGAAAATAAAGAAAATTATGACACTCTTTTGATTCTATAAAAAACAAACTCTTTAAGTGAACAAACAGTGTCCTGCTTAAACATTGTCCTTCCAAGCACTTGGATTTTCGTTTTGTTGTCCTTAACAATGAAAATCTTAATCTTAATTTTCTTTGTTAATCATGTCCAAAATTAGATTTTTCTGTTCCTGCAATTTATCATCAATCAAATCCCATGTCTGACAACTCAACAAATCAATCTTTGAATGTTGAGGCATTAACAAGTATTAAGTCTTCGGAATTAATTTATATAGTCGTCCATAAACAACCTTCAGTTTAATCCTTATGTACTTAACATAGAAGCAAGGATTTGAAGCAAACTTTAACTTTTTATGTGTGACTAAGTAACTTTAGTCAGATTTCATTATATTTGAGATTTTACAAGCAAGGATATTATATTAAGCAAAAGCAACAGTAGAACAGTGTAGAAAATTGATATATACAATATTACATTGACAAGATTTCTAAGGTTAAATTTATTTCATATAATAAAATAAATATAAATAAACAAATTTATTTATAATTTTTATTTTATTTTTCATTTTATTTTATTTTGAATTCTTCACACAAAATCTTGCATTGCTGCAGCACCATTTTTGACTTGTTAAGGATAAAAAGTTCAAACAATCCTTTATCCTTATAATGTATAAAAATACACTACGCATTAAAAAGGTATATTTTTTTAAACAAATAAAAACACATAAATTTATATTTATTTAAATATAATATTTGCAAGCCTCAAGCAAGACAATATAATACGTACTGTACTTTTAGTTTATTTAGAACAGAATTTTCTTGCATTTATGCTTAATTAAAAATTATGTTGGAAAGCTTTTATGGTAAATTGTGAATTTATTTCATAATTTCAATGTAAATAAAGCACAAAAAAATTACATAAACTTACATTTTATACTTCAGATTTCAGTAAAATAAAAGATTATTTACACTACTTGACCATCATCTCAGGTGATTTAATAAAAGTTCACAAATTTTAAAATCAAAATTCATTTAAATAAACGGGGGCAATATTATAAGTCTTTTCCAAATTTTTACATAAAATCACAATAAAATAAATATTAACAATAATAATATATGTATTTCTGAAGTTCCCATATCTTTCTAAAGTAAGACATTTTTCTGCCTAGCTACAGTACCAAACCAATCCATATCATGTTAGTGGAAGACATTCTGTTGTCGATGACTTTAGGTTTTCAGTTCTGCCTCTTATATATTTATAAATCGTTTTATTTGTTAATTTCGGAACACAGCTTTTAACCCTATCATTTAGGTGAATTAATGTCAAAGTGAATCGGTTAGAGACATTCACGTATTTATCGCCTTGGACCCATACTTTTCTTAAGTAAAAAATTTTACTGTGGAGCTACAATACCAAAGCAATCCATATCATGTTGGTGAAAGATGTTCTGTTGTCGATAACTTCAGATTTCCAGTTCTGTCTCTTATGTATTTATTATTCATTCCGTTTGTTAATTTCGGAAGATAGCTTTTAACCCCATCAATTAGATAAACTGATGTCAAAGTGAATCTTTTTTTCATTAAAGACATTGACGTATTTATCGTCTTTGACCACCATGTTGTAGGATAGTCTTGGCTTTCATAATGCCTTAGGTCTTACCCCTAAGAGTGTCCCTATTACAAGAGTGTCCCTACCCTACCAGCTTCTAAGCTCCCTAAACATGGCACATTGCTATTCACTGAAAAGACAAAGCACAAGATTACTTAGAAGTATTAATAATCTGTAATGATTTACCAATAATAGAACACAAACACATGTCATAATTATGAGCTATGAAGGAAGATCGAGAATTCATTCAAAATGACATGGGGTGTAGACATCTTAACACTGCCATATATGATAAGAACGTGAATCAAAGTTAACATATTGTGCTGCTAATAAATAGGAATGCTATATGGTTTCAGTGAAAACATTTTTAGAACTGTTCTGGGCACGAAACGACTGACAGCAATATACGTACTTAATATCATTGTAATGTCACAAATGTTCCTTAACCCAGATATGGCATCCTGGAACTTTTTCAAATTCCGAAAGGCGTTCCAATAATAACGTTTTTAAACAATAGGTAATGCAAACTAAGCATGTGATCAGCTATATAAGGTCCAGAATCAATCTAAACTTTCATATAATAAAAAATTGAAGCTTCACTTGATTATAACATGTAGAGTTGATAATAAAATAAAATATTAAAAGCAAAAACATTATAGAAAAAAATTATTTGTTGTAAAATGGGTTGTTCCACGAGCTACTCGTAGTAAAACTCAAGTAAAACACAAGTAAAGTCCAAACTGAGAGCGTAACACAAATAAAGTGTGATATTTCGCTCTTTATACAGATTTTTATGAAACAGCTTTGTGTAAAATCTGATGTTTTATGTATAATAACCAACTCTGCTATTATCGATGTGATAAAATTTTTAATACGAAATTAATCGGTCGATATTTGCGTATATCTTCAATGAGTACTAATTCCTCCTATAACTTTAAGTTGTAGATTAAAAATGAATTATTAGCATTTTTCGATTCATAAAAAAATATTTTATCTTTTTATGACTATTTAGCAGTTATTTAAATTACGAGTATACACAATTTATACAAGATTGAAATCAACCTTCTAGTCTTTTGTTAATTGAAATTATAATAAAATTAAATGATAGACAATAATATTATATTGTTTACAGGTGATTCGGTGCTACCAGCAATTCGTCGGACATCTGTTTCAAAATGCCAGACAACTACTAATAAAATTTCAACTGGATTTTTCAGCGAACGAAACGAATTTCTGTAGGTGATAACAATAAAAATAAACAATAAAAATAAAAATTTAAAAAACATTTGGCAAAAAAATAAAAATGGTGTCTATATATTATAAGTAATAAAAAAATTAGAGAGGTGGAAAATTTTAAAACTGGCGTAGTCCAAATCTCAGTATATATAACTGAATGGTATTGCACATAATTTAACAAAAAATTATTTCTAAAATAAGGACAGGAGAAAGAGAAAGTACAAATAGAATTAAACGTTCACTGGCTCTAACTTGCCAGATTATGGAAAATATTAATATTCGATCATACTAGATTATGGAAAAGTATACTCTTTACTTGAAAATGTTAATAAGATTAGCACAATGTTCAAATTATGATTAATAGAACTCTATATGTGTTTACTATCTCGTTACACGTATTGCCACTTGACCCTAACTGGAACAACCGGTGGCTTTAACAGTTGTACTATAATTTTAAAATTCATATCTACTTGGAAATCGTTTGACTATGGTCATCGCTAAGACTTTCTGTTACAAAATGGGCACTTTTTAGGCTTTTAGTATAAATTTAAAATCAAGATTAAGAAAATCCACTAGTTTTTTGAATGTCCTACAGATATGCATGAATATATGTTATAATTGAATAGGGAGCGATATTGGTTGTGAGAAACTGAAACTATACAAATCTTTCAGACTCTCAAATTATTGTAGACTCTATACGTAAGGCTATATGTGCTCCAACCGAGCTGAATAATTTTGGATCGTACTTTTTTTAATAGCTTCAGTGAATTATAGAGCAACCTGTTAAGAAATTTTAATACTTTGTTGACAGCTTTGTTTTCTGAAACCATAATAAATGTTGTAGTTTTAACGACATGGATTTTGGATTCGATTGATAGCTCCAATCAATTGGAGGGAAATTTTGGACATAAAAAAAATTTTACTGAAATAAATAGTTACTGAAATAAATAAATATGAATAGATAAATATTATTTGGGCGAATAAAATGAGATCTCGATTATAAATAAGGTGGCATCATTGCAACATTTTAAAAGATTACATTTAGAAATAAAAATTTCTATATAAATCAGAGCCAAAGGAACTTCATAAAGTCCCACTCATAGCCAAATAATGTAGTTTGATACATTAAAAAAGCCCAGGTACAGAAGTAATTACTTAAATCCGGTTTTGCATCATATCTTGTGTTATTTGATTGTCCCTCTCTATATACATTCCGTCACAGCTGTTATTGGTTTTCGCATTTCACTGGCATTTTCTTATTCGAATTCGAATACTTGTTTCGAAATTATTCTCATTATAACGAAAATAATGGCGTCAGTTGTCATTCTGTTAGTTTCGCTTCTTTTTCTCTTTCGAGCTTTGTGTGCTGAACCGAAATTCTAGACTGGAGGCTCTTGCGGTATTTATTAAGTTTATTTAATTTAATATTTTAATTCAATATTCAATTTCAGATTTATTTGCGTAATTGAAATATTCAGTTTAAATAATAAGTAAGTTTTATAATCATTCATCGCCACATCTTTATTAACATTTCTCTTTTCCGGCACGTTATCATAATATAGAGTTATAAGGTGAGTGATTAAATAATTATTTAGACTAATTAATTAATAATCAACCAACAGTTTTTCAAATTTATCACAAATTTTCTTTGGTTTATTTGTATTCTAAAGCAAACATAGTTTTTAAGGTTGTCATATTAACATAACCTAAAATATTATAATATACTTTAGAAATAAGCATATTAAGTATAATGCTGAGTGCGTACTGGTCTTGTTGTTGTAGCCTATAGAGATCTGTTAATATAGTACCTTTTGGAAGTGGTGAGCGATACTTTGCTGTCATAGTTGACGAGTAACTCTAAAATGTAAAATAGGTCGCGTCAGTAACAAGTTCGAATTGTAATAATATCTGTCGGACCTTATATTGACACACTTACAATAATGGTACTTATAGTTTATTTATGTGGAGGCAATCAAACATAAGAATTTTTAAAATCCAGAAGTCAAAGATGGATATGTGACAGCATCCAAAATAACTCTAGGGAAGATATTGTAAACAAATATAGTTTATTTTGTCACTATAAACTTTGCGTATGGAAAAATTGATTTAAAATTCACAAATAGGTTTATTGAACTCCTATTAAAATACTTAAAATTTATAGAAGACCTTTTTGTAGAAGAGTAAAATAATAGTGAAAAATGAATTTTTAAAAAACTTAATTTCTTAAAAAATTCAAGTGCTTGATTTAAAAGCTTTATATACGAGTGTTCGCTCACCTTTCGGATTTTTCAGTTATTTTTATGCTGTTAAGGATTCTCAATACACTTCACTCCAGGAAATTTATTGAAGTGGAAAAATAAAATTTAGTATATGTGAAAAATTCTTTTGTGAAAGTGATATTGACTGTGAAGGAAACACATTCTCAGTGCAACGTAATTGCATTCAGTTAACTGAGGAGCCAAGAAAATGCACATAAGATAATATTAGGTTAAAGGAGTCCGTGGTGGTTGTTATGAAAAATCTTTATATACACTTGATTTGTTTAAAGAAGTCTCTTAAAAGGTTTAAATAAATAAATAAATAATATTGAAAAAAATATTTAAATTATTACTAAAAACAATTTTTTTATGTAAAAACTTTTTCTTCATTCTGAGTTTATGTAGATAAATTTATATCTTCGAATGCTGTATTCTAATATTTTAGAACAAAGTAACGTATATTGTTCTTCTTCTTGAAAGTTAATAAAAGTCTGCAAGTTTTAAGAATTTACTTTGTTTGTAACAATAGGTGTGAAAATCAATTTACGCAAAATATAAATTTTAAAAATTTTTCCGAACTTATTTTTATTATCTTTCTTGTGAATTCATTTTCACAAAAGCAACCGACATGCTACAGAGTAAAAATATCCTTCATATAGTTTCATAAATCCGCTGCATCGTAAAGAATCTTATCACTGAAATGTATTCTTCCAAGTAGATGTACTGCTTAGCTAACGTCATAAGTAACTCTTGATATTCAAGATACTTTTTCTCGTGCCATAAGAAAGTAGAGGTTTTATTCGTTGTGCTCGTGTGTATATTTTTATGTCATCCGTCTTGATATTTTGTATGTGCATATATATATATATAAACTCACATCTGACGTGTTACTTATATGTTTATATAATAGAAGATTACGTAGATTGTCACACACGTAAGTGCAATCGATGTAATATGCAGAACAATTCATCAAAATATCTCTTCAGCTCTCAGGTGAGTTGCTCAAGGATATGTGAAGCTGGCTTTACAATGCTACTTAAATTTATTTGATTTGCATTTATTTTTTATTTACTTGAAAATTGACAATAGCAAAATCTGCATATGTTCAGATGTTCTTTAGATGAGTGCACTTGAACCTTGTGCATTTGAGTTTTGAGTTATGTTGCCATCTTGTATGCAGTATTGTTCTTATTATTATCCTTTGGCAGTATTATTTTTATGTGTACATTATTCAATTCGTCTAATGCATTGTCTGTAGTAAAATTATATGTGAGTATGTGTGTACCTATAGCTCAGATGTGAGTAGTCTCATCAAATTTTGAAAGCATGATATAAAACTTTCCTTAGTTTAACTTTGTTGTGGAGGATAATAAAATGCATCTTTAACTCACTAAGAATAAAATAAGCTTAAGTATTTGTTAACAGTAACTTCATCCATATTTAAATGTATACTCAATGTTAATCTCAATGATAAGCAAGATATGGAATATGCATAAAAAAATACGATCAAAGGTAATATTGTTTTATGTAGTAACGTTAATATGTTTTTATAAAAAAGACTATAAACTTTCTGTTCGTCTAAGTAACACATTTTGTCCAACATTTCTATGCTAATGAAAATAGGCGAAAGAAGCGGAAAGAGCTGCGAACCCAACAAAATTAGATACGATAGCTGTTTCGATTCCATATTCCTCCTAATTTATGTCACAAATTTGGCCACTTTAGAACTATTCAAACACATTTAACAATGCAAGTATTAATCGAATGTTAATATGGGACATATCTTTGACTAAATTCAAAAATTAGCGAGCCTGGATAGTGACACAAGAGGTATTTTGGTGTCTCTTCTTCGAGCGGTAGTCCTGCAAGAGTTTTGCTAGATCAGGTCAGCTACCTATTATTCTATTGTTCAGTACCCCATTAAAGTCGATATCATCTTAAATTCTTCCAATTTATTCTTGTAGACGAAGTTAAAGATGTTATATTTGGAGTATATAGGCCATGTATAGCCTATAACACTGTGTAAGGGACACTGTGTAAGGAAATTTTATTATCTTAAATTCTTCTTGTTTCTGTAGATTTAGGCAGAGGTTCTATATTTGTAGTACACAGGTCATGTCGTTCTATTAGAACTATTAAACCAATTCTTTAAGCCTGTTTGTAACAGTGATCATTTGTTAATCTTTAGCTGTGACTAGCAGAAGCAGTAATTGATAATTGAAGTATGTGGGTCATATTTTTCTTGATATGAAAGACAGTATGTAGCAAAATGAAATCACAGAGTTTGATATTTAGAGTATGGAGCTTATGTCATTCTTGATCTGAATGACAGATCATAGGAAGATATATTAAATTAACAGAGTCTATAGCGAAATTTGATTATATTCGCTCTGTTGAAGAGTGTAAAAATTCTTAAAAATTTAAATGTGATGTGTAATGTTCATAAGGAACAACCAATAGATGTACCCATAATCAGTTCTTCAGTTATCAAAAATAGAATAAATAATATTGGGTATTACAATACAAAATATGCTAATTTATTAAATATGTATTTACATTTATAATATCTATACTTCACATAATTTTTAAGTGGTGATTTATAATTATTTATTTATTTGTAATAAATACAATATAATATTAGTACAACATAACTACATTAATATGATTATAATAATATAAATATAACAATATAGCTGTAATAAACTAATTAAAATTTCATTAAAATAATATATAGTTGTAATGCTAATAATATAATTACTGTAATGACTATAATATATAATAATTAATATTTATAGTATATAATAATTACTATAATATGGTAAATATGTGGCACATACTTTCATTGAAACATTTCTTGAACTTACAAATATATTAACTTAATTTATCAAAATATTAAATAACCATTGAATAGGATTATTATATGCATAATATTAAAAAAAAATTTCAAATTTAGTTGAATATTAATTTTATAGTTTCTTTAATTTTGATATTTTTTATTTGTTTTAGTTCATCTTTGACCACATCAAGTCCAAAGAACCTGTTTGATTATTGCTTCATTAACCCTTCATATCAACGCTGACTGTGGTATGAATAGTAGTGCCGCTAAATATGTTAATTCTAAATGTTAACTTTAAATTGTGCTTTGCAGATTAAAATGGCTATTTTAGATTTCCAACTCGAACAATCTACTTTGGTTCCAGAAGTGCTATCAACAATAATGGAATCTCTTCATGAAGGCATTGCTGGCTGGAACACTATGGATAAATTTATCAAGTTTTTACAAAGTAAATTGAACAATGCAGGGTTTAGAAATTATTACATCACCTATAATGAGGATGATTTAATTTTGTCTGACGCATATATGTTACAATATGCAGTAATCAGATATGGGTTTGACTTAATACAAGTGATCAGAATTATGTAAAATAAGTTTTATACTTGTAAAAGCCCTGAAAAATGGAAAAATTTTGATAATAAACTGAATTAAATGACTTGAATTTTTTTCTTTTATATATATATATATACATATTTCTATGGTAATAGAAGTTGTTTTGTATACTGGGTGATTTGGTTTAAATTATATTAACTGACGAAGATGATTTCTTTGTCATTAATGAAAACAATTGCATACATGCCACAGTATATGTTATATTCAATATTTATGAATAAACCAAGTCCCAACGAATCGTATATCTGTAAAATCGTTCCCACATTACAGTTAATCTCGTTTTGGTCGAGATTAAAATCTCTTTTAAAATGGTGATAATTTTTCTGTGCATTTTTGCCAATGTTTTAATAGCCTAGATTTTTTTACGATATCAGAAGTATTCCAAAGAAATGTCATAAAAAATATTAGGGTTCCTTCCGACTTCGGGTAACGCATTCGGTAACCGAATAACGTATTAAAAGTGCAAGCTGGCAACCACAAAATACGTGTCGAGTAAGGCGTAGCAACGTTGCTACGCCTTAGTCAAGCAATTGCATTGACCAACATTTGCGTTGCACTTTACTATGCTTTCAATGTTGCCACATTTTCTTTACATAATAAAAAAGTTCACTTCGAAAATGTTCTTTTTCTTAGAATTTCGAATGGAATTTATTTAAAACTTATTAAAAGATTCTAATAAAATATTTATTAAGACTAATATATAGTATAATGAACCCTCAAATTTTACACATAAAAAAATTTTTATATTATATTAAATTTAATATTATATCAAGGCCTTCTATCCTGTTAGATTATTTTTTATCAAAATATCAACAATTTTCTTTTTTCACTTAACATTGGCATAATATTGATATATGTATCAGATTTTCTGTTCTCTATATTAAAACAGCTGATTTTAACAGCTGTCGTTAACAAATCGACACAATCAGATGTGCACACGAGTTAACGCAACTGGTTGCACTTTTATTCGGTTACAGTGCGCGTTACTTGAACTCGTGAATACCCGTATTGAAAATTTAAAACTGTCAAAGTGAATGAAATTTTTATTTAATTTGTTTAATAGTTTTGTACATAATTATAACAAAAATTGATTAAGTTATTGTTATATACTATTTATTAGAATTATATTACAATTTTTTTATATAAAGTTCTAATTAAATGCATTATTTACACAAATTCAACACAAGAAAAAGGAACTTTTATCGAACACGCGACACAAAAATAACAAGAGAAACATCAAATCTCCAATACATAATAGGTCTGCTCCACGAGCTTCTCATGGTAACTTTGAGTAACACAGTATATACACAAGTGCGTTCCACCAGCAAATTTTCGAGTAAATGAGAGCATCTCAGAGAAGGTAACAATCCTGTCGAAATTTGAAAATCCTAACATAAACAGACTGCCTCATTTCATTTCAAGTAAAATTTGTGTGATGTGTAAATCAGCTGTTTTGGTTTGAATTTAAATTCTTGTATTATTTATTTGCGCGGCACTGGTGTTCTCACCAGACTGAACACAAAGCTGTTTTATGAAAATCTGTGTAAAGAACGTAATTTGGCACTTTATTTGTGTTACGTTCTCAGTTTGTACTTTACTTGTGTTTTACTTGAGTTTTACTACGAGTAGATCGTGGAACATGCCTAATGTAAACTGTGTAGACTTCACCTCATTCTATTAATCTCACAATGTAAATGTAATATTTTGCCGTGTTTGAATTATGCCATAATTAGCGCGTATACACTGTTGTCTTTTTTTGATTTTTTTTAACTCTTATTGTACATCTTTTGCGGCGAAGATCGTAAACGAACTGTCAAAACTACGTTTCGCATTTCTTGCATTCCCTTTCAGTTCGTTGTGAAATTCCAGAAAAGTGCGTGCAAAAGTTTTCAGTAGAAATAATATTTTAAAATAATTGATATATAATTTAATGTTTTGTTAAATTTTTATTGTGTCGTGTTTAAATTATTATTCAGTTTTAGTTTGAAACAAAACTCAACACAAGCCTCTGTGAATTTTACGTGCAAAGTGAGTGCATATTTCTGCATATCTATTTAATTCATTATTTTCATTTAATTTGAGTAAAACGGTAAGTGATTAAATTTTTCACATAATTAATACCATTTATTCAAAGATTATAGTTTAATGTTCTATTTCAATTTTTTTTTTTTGCAATTTTGTTATGTGAAGACACCTTCAATTTGTAGGTTAATAATTGCATTACTATAGTCTTCTCAAAATATTCCTATATAAAAGTCATTCTTTAGTAAAATACCTTTTTGCAATATAATATCCATATAATATAATATAGCTTTTATCAATTTAATGAAATTTAATTCTGGTTGAAACTCAATTCATTCTTTCTGTGTGGTAATTGGTTTCCCTAACCACACTGGCTGCTCACTGACATTATCACATTAGTTTTTTCATTGTTGATTAGATGCATAATTGATTTGAACCGAATTGGAATTTGTCGTTTGACAGATTTGATTGATTAAGTAAATTGAAAACCATAATTGTGTGACTCTCTTACCGCAACTCACTTGGCCAATTAAGCAAATTACCACAGCAGAATGCATAAAATATCCTCAGAGCAATGGCACAGATTGTTTTGACTTTCATGTGCAGAAATAATAATGTCTACTTTTGTTGTCTGCGTTCTGAATGAATGGGACTGACCAACATATTAATAGAATTTATATTTATGTCAACAAATATTGTTAATAATATTTATTGAATTTAAGTAATTAATAAATATACTTTACGTGTTTGCAGTTAACTCAGTTTTAGTTTTGCACATTCTTAATGAAAAACTGACTACCCTTACCATTCTACAAAGCATATGTTAAAAACAAAGTCAAAACTAAACTGTTTGAGTCAGTTGTCGATGGATTCGTCTGTTCACTTAAGATTTGTGTTCCGCCATAGGAACATATCTGGCGCAACTTAAGATGAATTTTAATAGATGTGAACATCATTTCAGTTTCGTTTAAAGTAGGCATATGTATGGTATGTATGGAATATTTGGGTGACTGGATATGGCACTAAGAGCACACATATAAAATTATAATGTAGCGGATCTATAATAAAAAGAAACCGAGCAACGTAAAGATCGTAGTCACTATTCATCACTGGCCGGACATTATATTATGCCGGTCTTCTTTTCTGAAGTATCTAACCAATATTTATAATGTAGACATTTGGGTTATTGCTTGTTTCTTTTTTTCCAAATGTAAAAGGGCGTTAGATATTTTTTCAAACCTCTGTCCAATATTAGTAATGTAGACACTAAAGTCTAAACAAAAATGATTTCTCTATTTCGAATAAGGTTATACATTTGTATATATCTCAGAATAGCAAACTTATTCCAGTGATATAATACTGTAATGATTTTCCTTTCCTTTCGAGTGGATATCTTTAGTAAGTGCTATTTACTATTAAATCTAATATTAATAATTACTTATTCTTATTAAAAAATTTTTGAACATTCGATTATTAGTTAATAAGTAACTTTTTTCCCTACGTTTTGATTTTGTTGACAAAATAAAATAGATAAGATGAGATTTCGCATGTTATTTAAATTTTGCCATTTGATAGAAAAACTATCGAGATTCCAGGAGTACTGCGCGTTCTTTCGCTCTTGGTCCACGGTTCTTCGCGATGTGTTAGCTGTGGCTTCAGGCCGGCGGTTACCTCGTGTATTTCAGCTTGCTTTGTTATGTAGGATGCTGTTTTGCTGAACGTGTGACCAATCCACTTCCATCTTTTTTTGATTTTACTGTATCTTATTTGTGATGGTCTGTCTTTTATAAAATCATCATTATTTCAACCAGCTGGTTTGGAATTTATATTTGGTTTTATTCGGAACATCATACATTATCCCCTATTTCGCAATCCTTATGAGTAGTTGTAAAGTTAAATAGTTGAAAATAAATGTTTAAGATGAATTGTACATTAGAAGGTATTAGAAGGTATAATATGTAAAGAAGAGAAAACACAATGTTTCTTAAACAATGAAACATTTTAATTATTTTTTTGTAATATATTTCAAATTTTTTATAAAACTATGACTTTCATTGCATTAGGCGAATCATTAACTATTTCTCCCAGCCATTTCTAAAATGTTTTGGCAATAAATATCTTTTATGTAAAATTACATCATAAATATAAAGAAAAATTAAGTTTGTGCAAATAATTGTGCAAGAATATTTTATTTCAAAACAACTGAACACAAGTTTCTCGTTCTGGGAAACTGCAAAACTGCGGCAGTTCTGACGTTTTACTTCTTAGTATCCAAGGACTTTTTGCTTCGTTTCTAAGGAAGTCATAAGTGTGCGAAAGCCTATAGCAAGACATAGTCTTAAGCCAAAGGCAGGCTTCTTCCTTTCACGCTTGTTCCAAATGACTTTCATATTATACAGGTGCGTCGTTGACGGCGTCCAAAGTATGTCTAAAAACTTGGGGCTTAGGAAGGTATTACGTAGCAGTGTGGCACACCGCAGAAGTGCATACAAAAAAATTCCGGCTTCAGTTTTGTAAATAAATTTGCATATTTTTGTCTTTTAACGTTAGGCATGCACCAAATGCGCTTTTGCTGCCTGAAAATGCAAATGTCAATTACTTTTAATACTCAAGTGTGCACTTCACAGTGTTTTGTCTTCACTGTGGAAGGAAGAAAAAATTGAAATAAAATAAAGTGAAAAGGATGCTTTTGCTTAACAGAAGGTAAAGGAATTTATTAAAAGGTGCAAAACTCTTTCTTTTTTCGCCTCTTAAAAATGTGCTCATCGAAAGTGCAATTCTGAACACGTCTTTGGCACTTGCCTTTTGTTGTGGACAAGTGCTCTTGTGACTTCAAATTGGCTAAAAACAATTAACACAAAGTGTTTGGATAAAATACCATTTTTTTTCTTAAAGGTTTGAAGTAACATTTTTGTATATATTTTTATCTTCAAGAGATTCATTGTTATAGTTTGAGTATTTTAAAGGCTCACTTTACTTGATGTTAAAAAAAAAATTAA